ATAATATATCACCCGATCGTCGCGCAAAAGCCATTCTGACTCAAGAAATCGTAAACCAGGCGATCGAAATCCTTAGCAGTTCAGACACAAGTGCGAATCAAAGATATAAACGCTGGGTTTTGCAAAAGTTCAGCATGATGCATATTGGCGAAATGAAAATTCTACTACTCAAAGAAGTAAAAAACCCCACCATAATAAACTTCCCTTTCTAAATGCACGCCCGTGACTTCACGTGATATCGATAGCGTTACATTAAGAATTACACAAAATTTGTTATAGACAAAGAGAAATTACTGTGCCCCGATTATATCGAAAATTCTTCCAACTACAGAACTACAACTATCGCCACCGACTCTTACATCCCTCAACCTTCCCGATAATATGACGATTGAAGAATTTCTAAATAACCCAGAAGAAGAAGAGGTTTATGTAGTTCCTGACAATGAAGAACTTGTTGAATTATATAGGCAGCAGTCAGATTTACCTATTATAGCAATAATGAAGAAGCCGATGATATTGAGCCCAGAATAATCAGCGTTAACGAGGCTTCGAAAGGTTTGGAAATAGTTTATAATTTCTTACAACAACAGAGCGATACTGAGGAACTATTTAAACATATTAATATCAAAGCTCTTAACAAATATATTAATCTAAGAAAGACAGACTACCTTTTTTAACAATAGATATTTAGTTATTTCCTAATTTCACGTGCAGCCAATCAAATTCTTACCTCTCTAAATGCACACTCTGTAAATGCACGCTTTCCTCCGTTCCCAAGGGCGTGCATTTATGGAGGGTTCACTGTACAAATATGATTTGATTTATTATTATGTCTGGGTTTATAAAGCCAGTATTTGTGATATATTAATATATGTCTGTATGTAAATCCCGTCCATGGTCCCCAAAACCGCATTTACAGGGGGGGTATCAAAAGTCTTGCACGCTTTTATTTTTACGATATTGGAAAAAATTTCTATGTAATAAAAAAACCAACTTTTGGACCACTTACTGTATCACTTGTCTTAATAAAATATTAATGTTAATTTAATATAGCGTGTCATTATGAGCAGAATAATTAATTAGTAAAAAGCCCAATTTCTGCTTCGGCGCATAAATGAGTCTTGCTAGAGAGCTTATTCCACATAATGATAATAAAAAAACTAGCTAGCCAAGAACACAACAATCGCAAAAATGATAAGAAAACATCGCACAACAGTTCCAACGGGTTTTCGGAGCTTGCTACTATAAATTCGAAAGTATGATCTGTAAAGAACAATGCAATGCGGTTTTGCAAAAGTATATCGTAATTTGATATTATTCATGCTCAACCAAATTTAAGTCGTGATTGCTGCAAATGGAGGAAATATTAAATATTGATGTTTACTTTGAGTAAATAAAATTTTTCGGGGGGTTTGAGTAAAAATTTTTTCCAATATAGTAAAAATAAAAGCGTGCAATACTTTTGATATTCCCCTGTACATAGTAATAGTGACGGGATTTACATACAACATATACAAACATATGTACACCCTGACATAAGTCACGAGACTTTCTGAATTAAGCCATGCAAATAAAGTGATACAAAATTTTTTTTCAGAAGAACATCTTTATTGTGTTATATCTCTTGCCTAGATCTAGATCTCGTCCTCAATCTACATCATGGGGAATGGGAATCCCGGTTTGAAGTATTTGGGGAGATGGTCGTGATTATGTTTGGAAAAAACCTAAAGAGAAATACAATGTTAACTGTTTGGTTCCAACCTTTAAATCAGGTCGTAAGGGTCATGGTGGGGATGGTTTAGTTCATTTGGATTGGGTCCTCTAGTTATGTGATAAATAAAGTACATTCACCAAAACCATGAGTAGTCTATCTTTATTTATTTATCCAATAATTGTTAATTATTAAATATTTTACTTATGATAAAGTATTATAAACTTCAATATTAAATGTAATTATGCCTCTAATTTTGTGTGAGATGGACTTTTCGAGACAAGTCATAAATACAATGACAAAAAGTTGGCCACCCAAATTTCATAGTGCTGAATTTTTGAGGCAAATTAGTTCTAATTAATGTCAACTAATATTTATAACAATTCCCATAAGTTTATGCTTTAAGATAGGCAGGTCACCCAACCCATTAACAAAGATATGTTTTTGTAAACCATACAGTGTTTTAAAGACAATAAGGCATCTTGTAAACAATATAATGAAGGTATGCTTATTTCCAAAAATTATGGTATTCCTAATACTATATCCTACATACTCATGCTTAATTAACATTTTATCATTACAAATGTATTGTACAAAATACTATTAATATTACAGTGACTTACAGTTGATAATTGATTTAGTTTGCAGCATACTAAACAAAAAACTTTAACTTTACTATGTGTTAAAATATTGCTGCAATAGTAATAACATATTCCCAATTCATAAAGGCAAGCTTTTTGAATGTTGCCATATACTTAACAAGAGACATAATTATTATTATCATGGTATGATAATAACTTATTATTATATTAAGATCAATACCAATACACTCACCATATATATATTCATTATGGACTCTGAAGACTCATTGCATATTAGTGTTCTGTATCCTTGTTAAGCAGTATTTGGTATGGTTGTGTTCTTATTGAGCACTTGGTATATTGACTGTTAGTCATCATCCCTTTCTACCCCAGTTTCATTATAATCATAGGTCCCAAGAATATTTTGTGCATAGGGATCTCCTTGTTCAGCAGCCATTTGATACAATTCAATTGCCTTCTCAATGTCCTTTTTTACTCCAAACCCATAGTCATAACAAACACCAAGATAATATTGAGCTCTGGAATACCCTTGTTCAGCAGCTGCTTGATACAATTCAACTGCTTTTTGGATATTTTTTTCTACTCCAGTTCCGTTCTGATAACAGATACCAAGATTACATTGTGCTCTAATGTATGTTTGCTTTGTAATTCTTTGATTATATTGTCCATCAACATATCCTTGATTTGTGATGTTTTGATACAATACAACTGCTATTTCAACATCTTTTTCAATTCCTATTCCACTATTATAGCATACACCAAGATTGTATTGTGCATCAATGTCTCCTTGCATAGCTGCAGCCTGAAACAATTCAACTGCTTTTTGTTCATCTTTTTCTACCCCAATTCCCTTTTTATAACATAAACCAAGACTATATTGTGCTCTGGCATATCCTTGTTTGGCAACTTTTTTATATAGCTCAACTGCTTTTTGATTACTTTTTTCTACTCCAGTTCCGTTTTCATAACACATACCAAGCCTATATTGTGCTCTTGCATCAGCTTGTTTGGCAGCTTTTTGATACAATTCAGTAGCCATCACATCATCTTTGTCTACACCATTACCATATTCATAACATATACCAAGATGATATTGTGCTTTTGAATATCCTCGTTCAGCTGCATTTTGAAGCAGTTCTATAGCTTTTTGAATATTTTTATCTGTTCCTATTCCATTCAGATAACACCAACCCAGATGATATTGTGCTTTAGTGTGCCCTTGCTCAACAGTTTTCTGATATAATTCAACAGCCTTCTGATCATTCTTAACAACTCCAGCCCCTTTGTAATATAATACAGCCAAATTATATTGTGCATTGGCATCTCCTTGATTGGCTGCTTTCTGAAAAAATTCAACTGCTTTTTGATAATCTCTTTCTACTCCGGCTGCTTTACTATAACATACACCAAGATTATATTGTGCACAGGCAAGCCCTTGGTGTGCAGCTTTTTGCAATAGATCAAATGCCTTTTGATAATCTTTTTCCACTCCGACTCCTTTACAATATCGCACAGCAAGATTATTTTGTGCATCAGCATACCCTTGTTCGGCGGCAACTCTTTCATACAATTCACCCACTTTAATTTCATCATCATATTTGAAATCTTGTTCACGCCATACGTTATGACTAAAATGTGTTCTTTCAACTCCATCCTGATGATGCACATGATGAAATATTTGTTTTATATTCTTAACTATTCTTTTCGACATTTTGTGGATGCTTGCAAAAGTATGTTTTCTGTGCGGTAGCTTATCGTATATGGTTACACAAGATACCAGGAGATACTGATACTAATACTAATCGGTCGGAAATTTATCCGAGATGATACAGTGTTATGATATGAAAGAAAGACGGTTTCTTCCTGAATAGATAGCTCGAGGATATTGCTTATAATGATTAACATGGCATCATAAAGTGCAATTACAATTTTTAGTAAACATTGTTTCTCTCTACCGCTTCTGCTGATAAAACCGTCATATCCGGATGTGTTTATAGAGGGGATGCTGTACGCATTTTGTTTTCTTAATCCTCTGTTATCGAGAGTTTCAAGTTTAACCACTATTCCATTATCGTTGTATCTACGACCGAGCACCATGATAAGTTCACTGATAGCAAGATTATTAATTTAGTTTTCATGTATACGATCGTTGAGTGCAGCTACTTTTGAATAAATAATATCGTGTACGGTTAGGCTCGTTCTTGGTGTCTAACAAATACAATGGTCAGACATTATTATCATAAGTTACTTGAATAGACAGCTTGTTCACTTTATTAAAAACATAATAAATTATTTTATGCTCATAAATCTTAATGTTTTATTTATCTGCATATATTTTGTCTCACATAACAATAAATGCGCTATAAAATGAAAATATTCGTAAATATTTCCCTGCTGTTCTAAGTCCTATCTTCTGTGTTTAATTCTAGTCATCAGCTCTTTGCATTGAAGATTAACGTTGTAGTTTGTTGAAGGATCTTTGGTGGTTACCTCAAAGGTATATTTACTATAAAGCAAAACCACCATCATTTTGAGTTGTACCATTGCAAACTGTTTAGCTGGGCACACGCGTAATCCACCGCCAAAATACATGAATGCATTTTTGTTATAGTTTTTACCAATGTTGTCTTCTAAAAATCTTGAGGGATTAAAGTTTTCGGGTTCGTTCCAATAATTTTGATTCCTGTGCAAACCAACGACGTTTATTGCAATTTGTGTCGATGAGGGAATTTCGTACCCGTCAAATTGATCACGATGTGCCGAAAAGCGCGAGATTGTCAATGTTGCCGGCCTAAGTCTCAGAACTAAAAATGGTCGCATATTTAATAAATGTTAAAGTAACACGATAAAAGTTTTAAAAATGTTACCTTCTTTTATGACCGCTTCTATATATACAAGCTTATTTAAATCTTCATAGGTAATAACCAAGTCCGTCAAATCTCCAAATACGTTCTTAATTTCTTGAATAATACTTCTTTCAACATCTGGATTAGCTCCAACGCAATGAATAATAAATGCCAGAGTATTTGAAGGCTTTAAAAAAATTAATTAGTATTGGGTTTTCATTTAGTAAACAGAATAAATTATACGATGCTATTAATACATACGCTATCAATTCCTTCACTAAACATTTCTACTATATTATCTCCGATTTCTTCGTCAGTCAAGGATATTTTGTCGTTCTCGTTTGGAATACCGTTTGATGGCAATAGAATATTTAACACATTGGATGCTGACTTCTCTCCAATGCCGAGGTTTTTTATTTCTTTTCTGCGTTCCTTGACCAAGTTGCACGCATAATTTCTGGTCCACATCAGATTGTTATGTAGGTATTTTGTATATCGACGTATAATTGGAATGTTGCGTATCACTGGTGGAACAGTTATGTAATATTGCACACAATCAGATGCAATGGAGAAGCGATCCAAAAAATCTTCATCTGCATTCTTTTGAATATTGTCACCAATAATTCGATCGTAGTAGTTCGACAATAAATTAGGTTGTTGACCGGCCGTTAGCAACATGATGATTTCTGCAAAGACTCATTGCATATTAGTGTTCTGTATCCTTGTTAAGCAGTATTTGGTATGGTTGTGTTCTTATTGAGCACTTGGTATATTGACTGTTAGTCATCATCCCTTTCTACCCCAGTTTCATTATAATCATAGGTCCCAAGAATATTTTGTGCATAGGGATCTCCTTGTTCAGCAGCCATTTGATACAATTCAATTGCCTTCTCAATGTCCTTTTTTACTCCAAACCCATAGTCATAACAAACACCAAGATAATATTGAGCTCTGGAATACCCTTGTTCAGCAGCTGCTTGATACAATTCAACTGCTTTTTGGATATTTTTTTCTACTCCAGTTCCGTTCTGATAACAGATACCAAGATTACATTGTGCTCTAATGTATGTTTGCTTTGTAATTCTTTGATTATATTGTCCATCAACATATCCTTGATTTGTGATGTTTTGATACAATACAACTGCTATTTCAACATCTTTTTCAATTCCTATTCCACTATTATAGCATACACCAAGATTGTATTGTGCATCAATGTCTCCTTGCATAGCTGCAGCCTGAAACAATTCAACTGCTTTTTGTTCATCTTTTTCTACCCCAATTCCCTTTTTATAACATAAACCAAGACTATATTGTGCTCTGGCATATCCTTGTTTGGCAACTTTTTTATATAGCTCAACTGCTTTTTGATTACTTTTTTCTACTCCAGTTCCGTTTTCATAACACATACCAAGCCTATATTGTGCTCTTGCATCAGCTTGTTTGGCAGCTTTTTGATACAATTCAGTAGCCATCACATCATCTTTGTCTACACCATTACCATATTCATAACATATACCAAGATGATATTGTGCTTTTGAATATCCTCGTTCAGCTGCATTTTGAAGCAGTTCTATAGCTTTTTGAATATTTTTATCTGTTCCTATTCCATTCAGATAACACCAACCCAGATGATATTGTGCTTTAGTGTGCCCTTGCTCAACAGTTTTCTGATATAATTCAACAGCCTTCTGATCATTCTTAACAACTCCAGCCCCTTTGTAATATAATACAGCCAAATTATATTGTGCATTGGCATCTCCTTGATTGGCTGCTTTCTGAAAAAATTCAACTGCTTTTTGATAATCTCTTTCTACTCCGGCTGCTTTACTATAACATACACCAAGATTATATTGTGCACAGGCAAGCCCTTGGTGTGCAGCTTTTTGCAATAGATCAAATGCCTTTTGATAATCTTTTTCCACTCCGACTCCTTTACAATATCGCACAGCAAGATTATTTTGTGCATCAGCATACCCTTGTTCGGCGGCAACTCTTTCATACAATTCACCCACTTTAATTTCATCATCATATTTGAAATCTTGTTCACGCCATACGTTATGACTAAAATGTGTTCTTTCAACTCCATCCTGATGATGCACATGATGAAATATTTGTTTTATATTCTTAACTATTCTTTTCGACATTTTGTGGATGCTTGCAAAAGTATGTTTTCTGTGCGGTAGCTTATCGTATATGGTTACACAAGATACCAGGAGATACTGATACTAATACTAATCGGTCGGAAATTTATCCGAGATGATACAGTGTTATGATATGAAAGAAAGACGGTTTCTTCCTGAATAGATAGCTCGAGGATATTGCTTATAATGATTAACATGGCATCATAAAGTGCAATTACAATTTTTAGTAAACATTGTTTCTCTCTACCGCTTCTGCTGATAAAACCGTCATATCCGGATGTGTTTATAGAGGGGATGCTGTACGCATTTTGTTTTCTTAATCCTCTGTTATCGAGAGTTTCAAGTTTAACCACTATTCCATTATCGTTGTATCTACGACCGAGCACCATGATAAGTTCACTGATAGCAAGATTATTAATTTAGTTTTCATGTATACGATCGTTGAGTGCAGCTACTTTTGAATAAATAATATCGTGTACGGTTAGGCTCGTTCTTGGTGTCTAACAAATACAATGGTCAGACATTATTATCATAAGTTACTTGAATAGACAGCTTGTTCACTTTATTAAAAACATAATAAATTATTTTATGCTCATAAATCTTAATGTTTTATTTATCTGCATATATTTTGTCTCACATAACAATAAATGCGCTATAAAATGAAAATATTCGTAAATATTTCCCTGCTGTTCTAAGTCCTATCTTCTGTGTTTAATTCTAGTCATCAGCTCTTTGCATTGAAGATTAACGTTGTAGTTTGTTGAAGGATCTTTGGTGGTTACCTCAAAGGTATATTTACTATAAAGCAAAACCACCATCATTTTGAGTTGTACCATTGCAAACTGTTTAGCTGGGCACACGCGTAATCCACCGCCAAAATACATGAATGCATTTTTGTTATAGTTTTTACCAATGTTGTCTTCTAAAAATCTTGAGGGATTAAAGTTTTCGGGTTCGTTCCAATAATTTTGATTCCTGTGCAAACCAACGACGTTTATTGCAATTTGTGTCGATGAGGGAATTTCGTACCCGTCAAATTGATCACGATGTGCCGAAAAGCGCGAGATTGTCAATGTTGCCGGCCTAAGTCTCAGAACTAAAAATGGTCGCATATTTAATAAATGTTAAAGTAACACGATAAAAGTTTTAAAAATGTTACCTTCTTTTATGACCGCTTCTATATATACAAGCTTATTTAAATCTTCATAGGTAATAACCAAGTCCGTCAAATCTCCAAATACGTTCTTAATTTCTTGAATAATACTTCTTTCAACATCTGGATTAGCTCCAACGCAATGAATAATAAATGCCAGAGTATTTGAAGGCTTTAAAAAAATTAATTAGTATTGGGTTTTCATTTAGTAAACAGAATAAATTATACGATGCTATTAATACATACGCTATCAATTCCTTCACTAAACATTTCTACTATATTATCTCCGATTTCTTCGTCAGTCAAGGATATTTTGTCGTTCTCGTTTGGAATACCGTTTGATGGCAATAGAATATTTAACACATTGGATGCTGACTTCTCTCCAATGCCGAGGTTTTTTATTTCTTTTCTGCGTTCCTTGACCAAGTTGCACGCATAATTTCTGGTCCACATCAGATTGTTATGTAGGTATTTTGTATATCGACGTATAATTGGAATGTTGCGTATCACTGGTGGAACAGTTATGTAATATTGCACACAATCAGATGCAATGGAGAAGCGATCCAAAAAATCTTCATCTGCATTCTTTTGAATATTGTCACCAATAATTCGATCGTAGTAGTTCGACAATAAATTAGGTTGTTGACCGGCCGTTAGCAACATGATGATTTCTGCAAAGACTCTTTTTGACCAACATACAAGATCGACTTCCACTGAGCGTTCCTGCTTGCTATCCAAACATTGACCTCGTTCTTTGATCAAATTGTCCCATAACTTTTCTAAATTTCCAAAAACTGTATTAACTAAAGTTGCAGCGGCTCTTAAGGCATTGGCCGATCCCACGACTCTGAAAAAGACTTTTCTAACGTATGACCAGGAGTGAAAATTCGCATTATATAAAATTGCAACGCTGCCCCTTTGTAAATCATCTAGTCCGGTTTTGGTTGCAACGCGAACAAAGTAGTTGCTGTCCTTTTTTGAAGTCATTATCCGTTCGACTATTCGCACGTCACTAACCATCAAATATTTATTGGTTCCAAAATACAATTCGAATATGTCTCCATATTTCAAACTCAATTGGTGGAGCCAATGTGGAATATCGTGTTGATGATAATAGTATTGGTGAAGATTACCTATTATGGGTAATGGAAATGGTCCCGGATACGAAGCAGAGCGAGTGAAATAATCATAATAAAATCTCAAGACATATAATAAAACAATAAAACTTGTGAAAATCAAAAATTCCGAAACTGCCACAAAAAGCTCTTTGGTAAACGACATTTCTGATGTTTGCAACGACTAAAAACGCATTTTATAATGGACGGAGTTACACGATGGTGATTCAGCATATTATAGTATTTTGTAACACCATAGCGACATATAAGTATTATAAACGGAATATTTTCCTTGTTCGTATATAATAGGAAAATAGCCAAAGTCTTTTGGTCTGTTTGATCAAAGATCCATCTTGGCTGCAGGATTCTCTTCTGACTGAATATAAGACGCTCATCCAAACAAATCGACAACAGCCTAATCAATACACTGACAATTACAAAGACAGGGGACTTGTTTGTTTGTTTCCAAATTATTCAACGTTAAATACCACGCTCTTCAGGTTGAAGTTCCGTGACTTCATCGGTCTACGAGCCAAATCTGTATTATACAAAACAAATCATCGGACATGTGAAACGCCAAGCCCATGTGTTACCATGAAATATTCACGCTCAAATCTTCATTAGAAACTAACCTATTTTACCAACATAAATACATTGGCGGTGGTAATTTGTGTAGTTCTTCAACGAGTTGCTACTAACTACAACGTATGTAACTATGAACGTTGCTTTGTGAAGCAAAGGCAGCAATATTTTCTTTCTCTGATAAATAGATATAAAATGGCTCTTGGTATTTGAATGCCATCCCCACCATTTATTTATTCCTAAAAGTTAATAATAATAATAGTGGACATCCAAATTAAAACAGACTTCTCAAGAAATTTTGAGGATTTTACATTCAAAATGTAATTCAAATATGAATGCTAAGATCAGATCATCTTTGTATTTTGCATCAATGCTGTATTTTAATCATTTTCCTCACTAAGCAAATGTTATTGAAACATGATACATCCAACAAAGTATTACTCTTTAGTAACTAATATGGTACTGTTGCCTAATCTTTAGGTATTAGTGAATCGGACAAGCAAAACAGATAAGTTACTATTTTCAAGCTATGCAGAAACGGAAAAAATTATCTTCAACTTTGTTTAGTAAGTATTAGGATATAAGTTACATCGAAAAAAAAGTCATAAATGTTCAGGCTGAAAATTACAAATGTATTGTCACTGTATAATATACAAATTAATAATCCAAGCAACATTAATTCTACTGAAGAAAAGATGTCTGGATAACCTCTATTACAATGGTCGTCATAAGTATCCGGAGTGTTAATCCGGTACATAAAATATCACGTAGTAGTAGCGCAACCAATTTTGAACTAATACAAATTGGTATTACAATATTGCGCAACAAACGCATTATCCATAAGGAACTGAACGCCATGGTATTCGAATTCTTAATTGGCCTTCTTACTCGCCAGACATAAACCCAATCGAGAACCCGCGGGCGATATTTAAAGGTAAATGGTAAATTTACGGTTAATGGGAAAAAAAAAACTTTCAACGGTTGAATTTCAAACAATAATGAAAGGGTCTGAATGATAATCTCTTCGTTAAGTTAGCGAAAAGGTGAAAAATTGTGCTTTGGAGAGGTAATTGAGCAGGAGGGGGGAAAGATAGATTCTTGAAAATTTGCACATGTTAGTAACGTATTTGGCGAAAATTTGTTTGCGAGATTAAATTTTGGATATTTATGACGACCACTGTAATATGGAATCAGGAGTTGAGGCTCATTGATATTGGAAACAGTGGCTGAAGAACCAAGGATTGTCAGCAAATCATTGCTTGTACTAAAATAAATTTCTTGTCATTCTAAATTGATATGTTGTTATTACAAAGATATCTCAAACAAATACTATATAGTCAACTGGTTCTATGACAAGCTTAGCTGCATCAAAATTGAGTTTGATTGTTTTACAAATTATTGGATATTCTGAAATTGTATAAACTATTCAGAATTGTGAACAAAGATTTAAAATTCGCCAACCATATTTAATTACCTCATTAATCAACCAACAATGTAGTTTTGTTTTATTTATCAAAAGAATAATTGCGAGACATTGTTATTTATAACGTCAAGTTTAACTAATCTAGACAGGTCTCTCCCGGAACGTAACAAAGTTGGGAGTTTACTCATACTCATGCAAACATCTAACACCAGCCCGTGAAAGAGTGCCGGAAAAGGTTGTTTGTGTGCATATCATTACATTAAATTTATGGACAACTATTTTTTAAGCTATGCAGCAATAGCACTTGTAATTATATCGACTTTTTTTTTTCGTTGCCTCTTTTAATGTTGACATCCTATCGATAGGATAAAATAAAATCACAACGTCATACTATAATTTAACCTTATTTTCACCTTGATCACACAAAGTTCTCTGGATGGCAATTGTGCTAATGAAAATTAATATAAGAATTAAATTGCGGGAGCGAATTCATCGACATTGCGTTTAATATAATTATCCGTAATATTACTTGTATTATACACACGAATTTATATAATCAAGTTTCGCATGCTTTTGACCTTAGATGTTTAATTAGCGTATGTGAGAATATGATATTTTAATAATGTATGTGAATTGTTTATATGTATCACATGATTTCACGATGCTCATACTCCATTCTGTTTTGTGAATAAAAATTCAATCACTGTCGGAGTTTATTCTGCGATAATTACCGCTATCTCCTGAAGTTTATGCATGTGGCGTTTTTGAAGCATCTCCGCTTGTTGAAATCGCAATATCATGTGCAATATACAGGTATTTTGCGCAATACAGGTATTTTTGCGCCGAATTTATTTTTTTCAATCATGTGTTACCAATGTGTTACCAATGTGTTACCATTAGGTTTATTTATTTATATTTGCAAAATGAATCGGCTGTGATTATATTAATAATAAACGCCTAGCCTATTATAGACAGCCTAACTACTCTTAATTGTTACCTCACATCAAAATCGTCTGCATGCTAATCACCAATGAAACACCACGGGTACAACAGCGAACCTGTTTATGGCGCTTCAATTAGAAATACAAAGGAATGTATTAAATTGCCACTTTACTTATAGTATATATATATCTATCTATTGCGGTGCCTTTCTTTTTCTTTTTTTTTTTTCCTTTTTTTTTTGCGGTCACGGGTTCGGATATGTGGTTGGAAACACAAGTAAACATTATGTAACACAGGCCTGTATTGCGCTACATCAAAATGCAAACATTGGAATCCAATACTGCAATTTCAATAGTATTCATACATAACCGAACAAATTATTCCATTCGTTCATACCCATTACGATATTCCTTTATCATCGAAAAACGTAATTTTTAATATGTACTCCGTAGTACAGAGGCTGTAATAATATCAGGTACGCTGTCTTCACCCTTCAGCACCTTTCGCTACTTTCTCTCTCTCACTCCGGATGCTATCAATCTTTGACGTCTGCTTTATAGCTGATAAAGAAGCGGAGACATTTCTTTTGATAATAAGTTGACATTGACTTACCAATTACCCCCCCCCCCCCCCATTGGCAATCTATTATAATAACATTATCAACTGCCTTCGCAAATATCATAAAGCACCCACACTCATTATCACCCATATCGCATTCTTTAATAACCAACTTATATATAGAAATTACCGCTCTTTACAGCCAAACTTAACTTTAATTTGCTCTTCTCACGAATAACTACTATCAACTCTTTGGACTGCTAACAGTACTATACCACTATACTCGCATACATACATACATACACACATACATACACACCACCTACTCCCTCTGTCCCTGAACATGTCTTTTATCAAGAAGCTGAAGAACCAATACGAAGTCTGGAAAATCACCAAATATACTCGACGGAGATCAGCCATGACTCCAGAATTTGAGCAGAAGGATACCGGATTCTACGAAAAGAACTATGTGAATGGTGTTTATTTGCACACTGCTGCTCCAAGGTGCAACAATAGACATAGCGCAAGCTATGTGAACAGAAGCAAGAATCAGAAAATTATTCGGTGCAGTGAGACATACAACATGAGGAACTAGTGTTCGAGAACCACACGTACGGGTAAATTCTTTATTAGATATCACCATCGTAAATGATTGCGATTGTATCTTATGTACTGATCTTCTATAATCGTTTTTTCAATGCAGGTATTCTTTCTCTCTCTTTCCGTTTACACGGCTAATGGATATCACGCTATTCATCAATTAAGTAGGACAGTAAATCGTATAACTGAACTTTGCTCGCATAGTTCTCGCTACTATTCCCCTAAACACTTTCATACTCACTTTTTATTATTCACTATATTGCTCGCTTCGTATCATCTCTTCATTAGAACATAAACTGTATCAAATAAGTTTCGGGTTTGGGTAGGGATTCACGCATTATCTTCGTCAATGTCAAAATGACACTGCGAATGTAAATAAAACTAAAAGTATCAATGACGGGAGTAAGAATTGGTGCTATAATTTGTATGAAAGATTTTCTCACCCTAATGACACCAACAATAAAGACAATGGTCTAGACATTTACACGAAAGTGGCCTATATACAGCATACTACGCTATTGTATGACTCAAATGGCCGGAAGACATTAATATCTCGATTGACAAGATGCATGGATCAGAGTGAAATGTCGGATTTACTATTACTGTGTATTACATATACACAGTGGTAGTTGATACAACTGATTCCACGGTCAGATCAATAACCCGGCTCATAGCGATAGACTCCGCTTGTTTTAATTTTAGTAAACTTTGTTCTACTCAAATTGTACATTATTTGAACCCCTTGTCGTCACTCTTGAAAGCAAATAGGGTAGTATTTAAACATCACACAAGAAATGGCATGGCCCGATTATATTCGAAACAGTGAATATGTACATATCAATAGTGCAATATCACATGCAGCAGTATAGTAATATATCAGCTTATCTGTTAAAACATGTTTATGGATATTAATTCATTTCATTGAAGAACAATGGACTGTCTGCCATAAACCCACGTTATATTTAACAAGCGTGGGATGTTTGAATACAGTGTGTTGCATGCATCTAATACTAGCTTGTTCTGTATGTATGCAATTGTTGATGCACTTATTATTGTTGGGTTGGGCATCATATTTACTTTGCAATGTCTGTCTTTGCTTTATTGTATGCCAAATATTACAGTATGTCTTTAGCACCAAAAGTTTTATTTACATGCTTTCCTAACATCCAAGTCTAGACAGTATGTTCCGTATTCCGTCCGTGTGTTTTATAATAGCATTTCAGATTCACCCTTTACTTGTTGTTCATGTTCATGTAATACTTTCACCTTTAACATCGCAAACCGTACATACGCGTTATCACATCAATTGTATTTTATATAATATAAATGTATTCGGCAATACACTATTCATGATGGCTGTTGTTTCGTTATCAAACCAGACTCGTTTTAATGTTCGATTCCATAATATGCCCGGTATAATTATCATATCTCGCTTGTGCTCATTCATGTTTCCAGAAACGCAAGCCTGTTACTGCAAAGTAGTAATGACAGCAGCTCCGGCACCAGGAAGAGTTTCAAAAATAACTTCTGACAATCGCTCTTTAGGTAAATCAGGGAATCTAACGTTGTAATATTTTTCAGTCACTTTTGATATAAATTCTTCCGACTCATTCCCGGAAACAATGGATACTACGCAGCCTACAATTGAATAAAAAACACTCAGCGATCCGTCTAATATCAAGATCTCCCCACCGTTGCATACCCATATAAATATTCACGCGTTATTACCTCCCCATCCAGCTCCAGTCAATCGGCTCCCTTTCGCGCCACACTCTAAACATACTCTTACAAGCTCATCTACTTCTACGCACGAACAGTCGTACAAGTCACGACAACTGTCATGACTACTATTCATCAATTGTCCGAGTTCAGAATACACTTGGTCAGCTTTGATGTGACCTGTCATACTTTCATCGCTGTGCGTCGACGTCTGACAGAGAGAATAAAACTCTAATACCCTTGCCGCTTCTTCAAACACGTGTTTTGCCCTTTTATATAGATGAAATGTTTTGGCTCTAACAGGAAATTTAGTCAAAAACTTCTCGGTCACTTGTTCACTGGTTAAGGACAGCAACTCGGTTAATTCAACGATACTGTAACCAAGTTGTTTGTTCCCAATCTTTTCTTCAACAATATTCGCCAATTCCCTCAAACTCTTACTGTCGATTTCCTTTCCATCCATATATTGATTGGCAACGTCCCAAAGCGTGTCGCAGCCCTTTCGCATTATTACGGTTCCAAGATAGTAGGCTGCTAATTTGGTCTCGACCACCCGTAAATTGTAGTTGGTCTGTGCTGTTGCCGCCTTGTTAGATGTGACTAAGGAATTCGAGACTACAAAGGTCAACGGAGGTGAGAGTGATGGCAACTTGATCAGCGTTGGGTGGAGAGTAGGTCGAAATGAAATGTATAAAGCTTGATTCGTTACTGCAAAGATTGAAGTAGTTTGATCCATCCTATCAAAGATGTGTCGAAATCAATACAAATGTTTTCAAAACAAGTTTCTTCCAATGATACGGCTCTACCTACCCACCACCATTGACTCCAATATATCTTTCACACTCGATCGCAATCTTTGCCATAGTAGTCTTGTCTGTCTCTATATTATTCGCGTATGACACTGCTATAGCAGCACAACAAACGAATGCAGACGAACTAGACAGGCCTGCTCCTGGTGGCACATTCCCGTCGACCAAACAGAGTAATCCTTTCGGGCAAAATAACTTGAAGCGTTGTAATATACCCTTTATACGACGATAGAATACGGGGGTAAATATTTGAATCTGACTTCTTTTATAGATTAATTATTTTAGTGATATCCATCTCCCATACCTTGTATCCACATTTGAAATAATTGCTCCACTCGACGGATCCCTCATCATTCTCAATTGTAACAATCTGTTCATCTCCTTCATACTGCCATTCTCTGGATTTGTACTTTGAATCATCAACATTTTTTATTCTCACAGTGGAAGAGTCGTCGTCTACCGAAACTGCTATCAATATATCCCCACTAATAGCCATTGGCAATACACCAAACCCAACGTAATCAATATGCTCCCCGATCAAATTCACCCGCCCTGGTGCACGGGCAATAAAATTGGGTTCTCTATTGTATACCGATCGAAACCGTTTAGCTAGCTCATGGTATCGACTATACTGAGACTGTCTGTTATGCTCGGGATATGCACGTATAAATTCCGAGAGAGACAGAGTAGGGATTGCATCTGCCATTAGAAATAGCTAGTGCTAGTCTGTGATGCTAACATAGGGTTTGCTGTTGGTTTAATTGGTCACCGATCGCGCAAATCACAGTTAGTATGTGATACCATGACGTGTGAAACTTTGAGACGACCTCGCCTCTTTCTTGCCTGATCCTCTATCAATAAACCCAGTTGAGATGGCTGGGAAATATTCCATACAAACCCGGTTATAGACTTTTCCCAGACTGGTGCACAGATAACGTATTGGATCTGAATATTAGCAATATATATCCTAGCAGATATCGATCCTAACATAACTGCTCCACATGACTGAACCTTCCTTGTTCACTCTCTATAGACACAACGAACTAGCCAGGACAAACACATATAGTTCAGAAACACATGTATCTGGCATTGGACCATATAATTATATCGTGTACAGATAGGAAGTCAGTCAGTATGTAACACTACGACATGCACCATCTTCTATTAATAGCCGGTATGATATTGGGGCGTATTACTATGTATAGACTATGTTTAGGATAGTTGCCAACACAATCTATGCATCCATAATTTCTATTCTCATTCTCACATAGACGACTTGTCATCATCAACCCCACGAAAACTTTCTAATGATACTAACAGCCAGCCATTAGAGCAATATTTTGTTCATCATCGCATTTATATATAACGCACTTGTTATTTAGAAATAATCGCCGGCAAAATAGATAAAGTTTAAACCCTTGCACATCAATATACTGTCACGTCGCACACCCGTTGAAGACGGGAGCAATAAACAATGGGTTGATGTTCGCTGATCAATGAGCGTAAGTCTCTGTAGTTGATGCATGCTATGCTCGCTTTACTGGTTGCTTCGATTTCCTCTACTCTTACTTATGGTTGAGAAGGAAGGAAGGAAGGAAGGAATATTAAGATTAATATTAATATTTTTTTTTTCTCAAAATAAATGCAACAAAGTTGAGGGGGAGATTTCCGGGTTTGTGCAAGGACCTAATAATAAAGTAAATAGCCGTCTGGTTGCAACCTGGTTTATACTTATTTGGCTTGAACATTTTCTATACCGATACTGTTTAATTCCCCTTGTTCACTGGTCCCCCAACCAACTTCAGTCACAATCTTTAAATATACTTTACCCTTTGACAAAGGCAATCTCTTGTAACAGTTATATTCTACCTATAAACTTTAATATTCTTTTACCCACATTAGTTTACATGCAACCTTTTCATACAACATGACACTCCGAATACCCGAAAAAGGCTCTCCAATCTCTTTGTCACAGACCTCATCAATCAAGAGTATTCTACGAACACTATGGCGACAAAGAATAGTAGCATTAAAAGCTATTGCCCTTCTGTACATCGTTGTGAGTCTGTTTGTTTTCACAACGAGTATATTAGGATACCTTACTCGTCCATCAAGGCCCATATATCCCAACTTTCCATTGACAAGGACTTATGGTAAAGAAAGCGAATCTTGTTTATTGTTTGTTTTGCTAGACTTTTTTGACGTACTAATGCTCACTCTCATTAGATACAAATGGAAGTTCGCCGTTAAACGAAATGGATACTTATACTCGCTTTTATAAAATGCATTCCAAAATGTCCAGCGGATTCACGAACAATATAAAGCAATACCACAAACGAGCAAGCAAGATACCAGAGAAAGATGATATAACAGTTACTGCCTTTGTCACCGAGAATCGTTTTGAAGATCTAAAGAGACTAACTGAACTATGGCAAGGTATGCGATCAATTAATAATGATTCCGTGTTAGCTAACCAAATTTTCGACTTTTACCGTTTTACTAATTCTTCTAATGCCTATCGAAACCGCTTCTAGGCCCAATATCTGCAACATTCCATATTTCAAGCGAAAGTTTAGATGAAAACGATCCGATAGTTCAGCAAGCCTTTGACAATCTGGACCATTTCCTCAGTCAACATCCAATAGTCGCCAAATATGTCGACATTCACGTAATAGCCAACGTTGTTTCTTTCGAAAAACCGGAAATGCTCGCTCGTCCCACCAACTTTCATCTCAACGTCGCTCGTTTTTTCGCTCGTACCGATTTTATCTTTTATCTCGATCATGATACGTGGCCTACCACCAAGACGAGAGAAGAAATACGGAGATACAAGAAGTTGTTATTAAATAACGATGTTATTTCAGTGCCTACATTTACATATAAAGTCGGAGCAACAAACCTGCAGATTCCGCGAGCTAGAGAAGATATTATTTCAATGGTCAGGAGTGGTGATTTGGGTTTACAGGATGACGGATGGGAGTTGAATCGGGGGCCTACATGTTATGCATCGTGGCAAAGAGGGAAAGTGTACAAAATTGATGATTTTGAAGTCCATTATAGACCAAACTTTGTGTCAAAAAAAGACAATACAGCACCATGGTGAGTATATGTTTATATGCACATACATCGCATAGATCTCATATAAAAAGACATGTAACTTAACTGCAACGCTTTCTGTTAAAATAGGTGTACAGAGCGGTTTGATGACAACAAAGCTGCCTGTCTCTATCAAATGTATATTACTGGTTCTGATATCTGGGTTCTTCCCGAAACATTTTTAATTCGACATAATTTCAATCCCAAATCTCATCTCCTCAGACCAAGCGAATCTAAATGGGCGGTAAGTTTGAGTATTTTATTGTCAATGCGTAAAGTGATCTTTGTAAGCTTCAAAAGAGGAAAGAATTTAACTTTTGGGTTTATCAAACTCACGAGTTTACGTGCAACAATATAAAATATGCCTTGAAAAAATTTATCATCACTAAACTATTTATTCTCTTCTTTGCCTTGTAGAAAGCAATAAATTCTCGCTTGTACACTAAATTTTATCGTGAGGCGTGTGTACATTACGCTCGCCAATTCATCTTTAAGGGCGAATGGGACTCGCCACGTTCAATACATCTTAAACAAGAATGTAACAGGGTATTGACCAATTGGGGAAAGGGACTAGTTGATGCATGATATATATAATAACTAGACGTAGGAAAGTTGCGTTTCCTCTTTTGTATACGTACAGATCGGGTAATAATAGAAGTACATTAATATATTTCACATGAAATAAAAACAACTGGTATATATATTTTGAGACTGTATGTGACATGTGACATGTGAGAAATAATCAGTATGTGTTGATTATCACAAAAGAAAATTTAATATTTTACATCTTGTGAGAAAGAAAGAATTTTTGTCAAACCGCCCTCGCAAACCATTGCTTGGACTTGGAATAAAATTCCGATTTTTTGCTAAAACTAATGATATACAAAAAAGTATTTATATTAATAAAATATACAAAATGTTGCCCCAACTCTTGGTGATCCAAATTTATCTGACATGTCTCGGCTGAAAATAGTCAAGACGCGAAACTATCGTTCGTGCATTAGCTTTCTATCACTTTAATGTCATTTACTATAGAATTTTCTGTCTTGCTTTTTAAATTAACCCATCATATCCCTTTCATTCACTCTCCTTGCTTTCATCTCTCACCCACTTCCATTTTCCAACCTCAATATGACCAGTTTCATCATTCCCTAGTCTCTCAGGTATAGTCTCCATACCCACTCCACCTACTCCACCCATTCCACCCATTCCGCCCATTCCACCCACTCCACTACTCATATACTGTTCATTTCTAAGCTCGAGTATCGGGCTCGTGCTGCTAGTGGCTGGCGTACTAGTCCCACTGCCCTGAGATGAGGCAGGTGAGTATTTTGCAAATGGAGAGAGCGTATTAACACTCAAACGAACTGGTGTTGTTGGTGTACTACTTGATGATGCGAACGACTGCACACGATTTGGAGATGGTACAAATTGAAGCGATTGTTTCCGTATTGGAATTGTTGGCGCTGCATCCGTTATATTTGTGTCGGAATTGTGATAAGCATTACTAGGAAAACTCTTTGTCATCGCATTTGGTGGTCTTGTTATATAAGCTTTAGGTAATGACAGCGGCGGTTTTTCTGCTATGGCTACTGCTGACGGTAATCGTGCCTGCGATGCGACTAATGGAGGAGTGGATGACGGTTGTTCATCGTATGGTGCAGACATGAATTTCGATTTGCGTTTCTTCCAACAACAATACAGAATAGCTATCGCAGTTATTAGTACTATGCCTCCTCCGACTGACGCTCCTATTATTATAGCAGACTTTGAAGATGACGTCCCGTCCGATCCGTTAGGTCCGTTAGTATTAGATCCAGCAGACCCAGGTCCGGAAGCTGAAGGCGTTGGATCTAAATTCTTGGGAGTGTACGACGTCGTCCACGTGTAAGATGTAGCGTCTAATATTAAGAGGGGAGGCTCTGTCTCAAACTTCATCTAGATTGTATAAATAAATAAATAACAGAATGTTAGTACAATGCTAATAAGAACAACCTTGTTATTATGGGCATGTTGGATTTATATGTTAAAAAGTTATCACATGATTATAGTGAATTAACTTGTTTGATAAATTTAAAAATAGTAAAAGCGTTGTCATGATGACGAAATTGAATATTATGTCACCCACGGATAGAAGATAAATACATACAGAATACCCTACAAAAGTAACGGTAAAAATCAATAAAAACTGGTGAATGTAAACATTTTAAAATAGCAGTTATTTTTACGCATCGCTTACCAAATGCAATGATAATGTTGTCCCCCGCCAATGTCATAGAGTGAGCATATCTTCCAGCAGGGAGGGTCCCCCCGGTTGTTTGGTTACTCCAAATTGGCGGCTCAGCGTTAACGTCCAGGACGTATACGTCGTTATATATTGTATTAAATGTTTGATCACATCCACCAAAGATTATTATTTTGTTTGAAGAAGCTTGTAGTATAAAAGATGAATAAAGCGGAAAGGTTAGGGAATTGAACAATATCGGGTAAAATGCCAGAATATGATAGATGCTGAAGTAGCTACAAAAGATTGCTTGCTTACTTCCTACAGCCTGATGCGCTCTTCGAGGAGCGGGAATAGCGCCTGTTGCTGTCTGTACGCGACAAAATAAGAATTAGATATGTCAACAAGATTGAAGAATGACAGTACGCTATCAAATTGAACAGCCTAGTCCATTAATTTCACCATTACTGCTATGCTATAATTGCCACAATTTTCACCATTCACTCACCGTCTTACTCCACACTCCTTTAACTGTATCAAATACATAAAGATCGTTCATGGATATCATCTGTCCATTGCCAAATCCTCCGATCAGCCACATTCTCCCGTCTTTCATCATCGTAGCGGTGTGATGGAATCTGCCAGTTGGAGAAGAAGCCTGCGAAGCACCGACTAGAGACCAATTCATGTTTTTAGTGTTTAGTAGGTACAGCTGGTCAAACTGCGTTTGCGAGGATACGGCGGTCGAAATTCCTCCAAATATGTATATTGTAGAGTCGTTCAATTTGCTAGCCGCCGAGTGCTCCATGCGAGTTACCACGTCGGGTGTTTGATTGGGAAACCAACTGTCACTTTGTGTATCGAAAGTGAACAGCGATGTCTGAGATGTGGAAGGAGTCTCTCCACCGAATGCAATAAGTATTTGGTTATTGCTACCGCCTACAGAGAGAGAATGAGATGCCACCAGTGGACCGTCTGGACCAATTGTCCACGGAGCCTCGGTCGCATTGAATGGAGAGGATAAATCGAGAATGAGCAGTTGAGACGTATCAGAAGCCGTTGTGTTTGGAATTGGTCTTGCGCCTATTCTTCCACCATGGACATAGAGTCTGTCAACAATAATGCAAAGCATATTAATATGTAATTCGTTACGACAATTATCGTTCATATTTATTCCAAACAATTATACTCACTTTCTGTTGACTAATTGTGTTCGATGACTCCTACAAGTGATAATGGTAAACTGTTATAATGTGTAATGGTATATATGCGTTTCCCAATTTTAGCAGCTACGTTACCATCGTGGTTGTGGTGGAATCAGTGCGCAAGCGAGAGGTATTAACAATACATATATACCGAGTATCACTGAGTGAAACCAGTACATGTTTACTCTCCCAGTAGCGAGTGCGTGTTGGGGGGTATCATTTATGGCGGGGGGGGAGAGAACAGGTAGGAAAACGAATGTTTCCGCAAAAAAATACTCTAAACAATAATACTGTTTTGTTTAGCTCCAAATGTTATAAAATTTGTAATTGGAGGGGGTCGCCTTTTATTTAACCTTGTGTTTGGATTGCTGCAAGATCTTTTTTGCCTAATAAACTAGTGATCGGCCTGATTTCTGGAGTTAACTCCGACAGGAATCTGATCACAATTTAATTACTGGATGATTTTCGGAGATTTGTCAAACTTACTCTATATAATATACTGTGTCATTTATATCTGTAATACCAAGACAGGATTGCTTTTTGCGCTAATACAAGAATATCATTTGATATTATTTCGTCATTGCAAATCGGAGATTGGTCAATGTACAATAATTCTCTTTGGCGAAAGACGATCTACATGAAGTATCATTATTTTTGCACATCATCTAATTATTATGCGTGTGTAACTCGGTATATGTATCACAGTCTCGAACGGTTGGGACTAGTTGTTTGCAAACGGTGTCGCTTTTCCATCCATTATCGGTATACAAAACGTCAATCTCTATAAGAAAATCTTTTTATAGCAATAGAAGATTCGGCTGAAGAGTATCATCGACACAAAGCTCGGTTTCTTGATTTGGCACTGTTTTCATTTCTCCGAAATGCCAAACGAGAACGTTTATACTTTGTACATGTGTGTACATGTATGTGTCTTTGTTGACTAGGCTTGGCGCAATGGACTTACATTGAGAGAATACCGGTTTGTATGTTATTTGTTCCCATTCCCATTTAACGTTATCAGTTACGGGATGTTCTATCAACTATTGAATTAACCTTATCATTACTAATTTTGTTGATCGTGAGAATGCAATGTGTGACTGTTACGCCCACAGACAATTTCAGGGATAGTACTACAACATGTGATATTGAGTTTAAGGAATAGTCACCAGGGATACCAATAATTTGTTGTAATATATTAATATTAATATGAATGCCGTATTCAGTTGTTCTATTATTATAGAATTTGTACTCGAGATAAATTAGACATATAACTCGTAGTATAACTCGTAGTATAACTCGTAGTATAACTAGTGGTATAACTAGTGGTATTATTAGTGGTATTATTAGCAAAATATCAATAAGTATTTATAGCATTGAATAGTTGTAAAAGCAGGCAAGCAAGGTTCGGAGTTTCTTTGTTTATGCTTTTCTAGTTAGATCCAATTAACATGCAAGCGGATGTAATGTAAATATAAACAATTACATTCTTGTACAATGTTTCAGAAGAAAGACGTTTTAGTTTAATGTATTTACTAGTATATTATTCTTTATGAAGAATTACTTCGAGCATGTGTATGTGAAGTGTTAACAATTTGAGGTAATAAGACGGAACGGGATATTTTAAAGCTATTGTGTCTCATTTTTAAGCTCAGTATATGTGGGGACCTGAAAAGTTTTGTCTAACTTGTCACATGCTTTATGTAACAAATGTAGAACTCATTATCTCATTGTCGGAAATCTTCTTTTTTCGACTGGCAAAAATGAGCCGTAAAAACCAATGATACTTTATTTTCGCTTCTTGGAAAAAATCTTCATAGCGAACAAGTGGAACTTTTCCATACGGTCCAGATCTTGTCCCTTGGGATCTTTTCTCAATCTCTCGAACCAAAAAAGAAAAATATTTGATAAAATCAAAAGTTTGGCAAGGGCAGTTCAGGCAGTTGTTGAAGCTATCCCGAAAAAGAACTATGAGAACTCTTTTCAGAGCAGGCAAAATCGGCTAGAACGCTATATATAGTTTAATGGAGAGTACTTCGATAGTTGTATCGATAATTATTATGAAATTTCTGGAAATAAAGGCCCGTCAGATCGAGAATATAAAAAGGTGTAATTTTGGAGTTTGCATAAAGGTTCTAAAACGGGTCATAATATACGCTATTATTAATTTTACAACAAGTCTTCAAGGTCAATTTCTTACATTTTTTCTCGATCAAGAAAATAGTTTGAAACTCGGTCCTATTGTTGGGTTATTTTGCTTGCTCGTAACTCTTTTTAGAAGGTTGAAGTAAATGTACGATTTGAAATTTACGAAAATATAGTTTGCATGACAAAGTAAAAGTCCTAATCTAATTAAATTAAATAATCAGAAAGAAATTTTGTAAAAAATGTACCAAGAACTAAGCAAACTCTTCTCTGCTCTGAAATGAATAGCTTAATATTGGACCACAAATTAGTACAATCCCCGGCAAAAATAATTATTTTGTAAATTATCAATCAAGACCCGATATTATAATAATAATGGCTTATATAATATTGACGCAAACCTAATTCTCTAAATAAAATTTCTAGTAATTCGACAAGAAGCAAATGTAGGAGAATTATTTTACACCAATAGATTAAACTATATCAGGCAAAAATTTATTTTTGATTAATGGGTCCAAGAGACAGGTATTACAGAGGAGGTGCAGCTGTTATTCTTAAGCCAGTTAGTTAGCAGTTTCACAATCACTTAGCATACAACTGGCATAACAGAATATGGCTTCGCTCACATGCTTTTTTGAAAAGCTCATCTCCCCGACCAATGTTCGATTTTTGGATCACTATTACTTTCTGGATTTCTGCCAAGAAAACAGTGCAAGATAAGAATTTTCGTTGCATTAGGGAAATTGCTTGAATATTGTCAAGTATTGGGTGTAATTGTGGGCATGGATATTGTTTTGCAACTATTGCAAACGCATGCTGTTCGTGTTGATCTTTCTCCGAGAGTATAACAGTAGTGGATGGAAAGTTTGGTTCAATTAGCAGATAATATTTATAGGGCCATTCTGCTTTGGTAATCTCGCACAAAATGCACAAAGTAGACATATAAAAATAGTTTGAAAGTGTGTAGGTTGTGCAAATATTGATATGGAGAGATTATAACGACAGGTGAATTAATGTTAGGGTTGGATTGATTGATGGACCGATGGATCGTAATAGTTGAGGAATTGGCAACAGGCGTTGAGGTAACGTTCGACTTCAGTTGGGAATATACATTTGCGGTTGAGGTATTCGGGATTGGTTGTTAATGTGTAAATATCGTTCTGGTAAGTGATATGGTTGAAATCGATGTGCCTTGAATTTGTATTGAGAAATATTAAATACGAATTACTGATGACAGTTAACTAAAGAAGTTTGAAATAATTTCTCTGCTTTCTATGAATATTTTTAAATATATTCTGCATTTATGTACAACTGTTTTCTTAGTACGTAAGGCGTGTTATTAGCGCGTAGTTAAGTAGTAAATGCTATGTAGACTTTTACTGCAGTTGGCGTACAGGCAACACTTTTGGCGTATTAGTAATATGGTTTTAACCCGCTTTGGTCAGCATGATTTGTAATATTGCCCGAGGCGAGAGTAATCTTCGTCTATTGTAAGCAAATTCGCAATGTTAAAAAAATTGTCGCGTAAACTTGGTATATTCTGTTCTCTTGAAGTTGTTGTGTGATTCAGATGAGGCATTGTCTCCCTCTATTAAATTGTTTTCGGACGTGTAAGCGGTGAATTTGTAAAGTTAATATCCATCTTCCGTATTGATTCTTGAAATAACAGAGCCTTTTTGAACGTATATGTTTTGTCTATATACATTATAGTCGTGAGAGTTGCAGTCATTTTTGTTCAATATTAGTCAGTAATGAGAAAGTTCACAAACAGATTGATGAGCGTGTTCACAATCCTGTAATCAAAGTTATATGTACCGAGAAACTTTCGATTAGTCCAGTCCTAATGAATATAATGAAGCACCATTATCATCAGCCAGTCGCCCAAAACGAAACTTTCAAACCCTGTCGTCAGTGTGGTATTGAACCTACGATTCGCTCAAAATTAAGTTCATGTTTGCTTGGTAACGTATATCGTCAGCTGTTGCTTGCATGTAAACACTTGCATCGCAATTTAAAACTAGAAAATATAGTGTAAAAATGCACGTTTATGTCTTAATTTAGTTGAAATCACAAGTGTTAAGTGTGGATATTAGGAACCATTTTATACCAACTTTTTGAAAAAATCGAGCCGTTTCAGAGAGAACGAGTAATTTTATCAATAAAATAAGCATGTCTCATTGTTTCACAAGTTCCAAGATTGTAAATTGTATCACTACCACAAATTGTTTATACTAAACCGTATACCAACGACATTCAGATCTCAAGACATGTCTCATAGTGATAAGAGAGATTTTAATGAAACAATTGATAGCGACGAAGAGCAAACGTCGAAGAAGAGGAAAATTAAGCCACAATCAGAGTCGAGCGATCTGTACTTGGACACAGTAAGTATATATTTCTTCAATGTTTCTGTCCATGCCCAGGAACGACCTGTTTGGCTGATTCTTCATTTACTCGGCAACAGATCAATCGACACATGTTGGATTTCGATTTTGAAAAAGTCTGTTCTGTTAGTTTATCAAACCTGAATGTGTATGCGTGTTTGGTCTGTGGGAAATATTTTCAAGGTAAGGAATTGTTAAGTTTACAGAGATCATAGAATAAGTACATATTCATGTCCACCTTCGTCTTCTTTTCATATTCACTTTTAGGCCGTGGGCGTTCTTCCCATGCTTATTTTCATAGTATTCATGAAGATCATCATGTGTTCATTAATCTACATACATTGAAAGTAGGATGACAAGGTATCTCCATTCCGTCTCACACAATATGCAAGAACTTTTTAGGCTCATGTTGAACGGATATCGTCATTAGGTTTATGTATTACCAGATGGGTATGAGGTAAAGGATTCGACTCTGGACGACATCAAGGTAGAGAAATCGCAAGAGCGAATAATTTTATAACGGGAATGTTAACGATTCGGAATTTATTACTTACTATTTTTTCGCGCCTTTTTTTTTACCTAGTATGTACTCCATCCGACGTTCACAAAAGAACAAGTAGCTCAGTTGGATCAGAATCTGAAAGCGTCCTATGATTTAAATAATAAAAAATATTTACCAGGTAAATGGAAATAATGTATTTTCGTGATCCAACTGTCGGCCTTATCTTATATTACTTTCTTTACCGTAGGTTTTGTTGGGTTGAACAATGTGAAAGCAAATGATTATGTGAATGTAATTATACAAGCACTAGCACATATTCCTCCATTGAGAGATTACTTCATACTGCAGAACTTTGAGAACAAATCACAATTAGGTAACAATCTGACTTACGTATTGGACATTGAAACTTATTCGGTTTTTATACATTCTCACTATTTATCTATCATATTTAGTTCAGCGTTTCAGCATATTAGTACGCAAGATTTGGAATCCAAAGGCATTCAAAGGGCAAGTCAGCCCTCACGAGTTGCTGCAAGAGATTTCCAACGCGTCAAACAAACGGTTCAAGCTCTCCGAACAGAGCGATCCGCTAGAATTTCTGTCGTGGTTCTTGAACGCACTACATAAGGACTTGGGGGGAACTCGGAAGGAAGAAAGCAGTGAGTATTGCTGATGTTATTTTCCGCTTAATGGATGCGAGTTTTATAAAACTCTGGCATTACAACGGATATTGGAGCTTGGATTACTGTCAACTTAATGATTCTATTGATTGTCGTTTGACAGGTATCATATATAAGATATTTCAAGGAGAAGTTAAAGTCGAAAAACAAAGTGTAATCGTAAAAGAAGATGCTGACGAGAAGGATCGGTTGACATTTGATCTTGATAGAGGTCTGTATAAGCTGGCGTCATAGGAAACGCACAGAGCATTTGGGAACACACCTGCGCTTGCGGTAGATACCTTATAAAAGCAAACGAGTTTTCACTAAAACGAATTGTTGCCCCTTTTTTTGTAGAGATCGCAACAACTTCTTCACCTTTTTTGTTTTTGACGCTGGATTTACCTCCGCCGCCACTATTTCAAGATGAGATCGAAAAAAATATTATCCCACAGGTAATTCACCAAGACAAATGCATTTGGACTTCTGCAATCTTGTCGAGTATCGTGTATAATTTATATTGCTTGTCATATCAAATAGGTTCCATTGACAGCCATATTATCAAAATACGATGGGCACACTTCCCAAGTAAGAATGGCAGGGCCTTAACGCGCGAAAATAAAAAAATGTAAACTAATTATTAAATCATTCAAATTTAGGAATCAGCGGGAATGCTTCGTCGTTTCCAATTGACAAGATTGCCAAATTATATCATATTCCATATCAAGCGGTTCACCAAGAACAACTGGTCATCCGAAAAGAATCCTACAATAGTCAACTTCCCTATTAAAAACATTGACATGCGAGAATGTATGCATATGAATTTATGGCAATATCTCTGTATTATTAGTCAAATTAGAATTATGCTGTTTATTCAATTCACTTTTCTTTTCGCTTTCATCTTTAAATCTGTGTTTGCGATAAACTTGCTAACATTTTTCTGCTTATAAAGACTTATTGACGGAAAACTCGGATACCTCTCAAAAACTCTCGACTCACTTTGACTTGATCGCAAATATTTCACACGAGGGGAAGCCAGGAAAGGGTAACGGCATATATAAAGTCCATGTACAGAATAGAGGGAAAGAACAATGGTACCAAATACAAGATCTCATAGTGGAAGAGATAAATGCACAGATGATATTCTTGAGCGAGAGTTATATCCAGGTAAACGAAGAGGGCAAAGAGCGAGTCGTCTGGATATCTCCTTTTTCTCGATTGATGGATAACTGTTTCTTTTCTTTTGCATAGATTTGGGAGAGAAAACTCGAGACTTGAATCGTTTTGTCTCGCGTGTATAGTTGGACTCTTTTTTTTTTTTTAAAGAATAAAAGTTCAAACAACATTACTGTGTCCATGCATCAATGTGCTAGTTGCTTTCTGATCTTCCTTCTTAAGCATTCAGTTATGTTTCTTCTTACACATCGAAGCCACCATCCTCGTCCAACTCGACGACCACCGGTGCATATTCTCCTTCGTCTTCATCTTCGTCTCGACTTTCCCTTACCCATGTCCAGTTGAATTTCTTGTCAAGAAATGCACGGAAGTTTTCAAACCGTCGTTTCAACGTGTGCAATTTTTGCGGGGTTGCAGAAGTCGAATAGACTGAATCAATGTTTCGCGATAATGTCTGGAGTGGTACGAAATAAAGAATTACAATCTGCATGTATACACAAGAGTGGCGGGTTTGGTAGGATATTTTGTCAGTAATGTTATTGGCTAAAGATACCTTCAGCGCATGCAGGAGAAAGCTTTTGTCCATTTCGATTTCGTAAAAGAAATCCGTCTGGCATTCTTCCAACTGGTATGATAAGACATCTGAAAAGCTAAAAGTTAAGAAGCTATGCAGGTCCAAGAAATGTATTGCTTGTTTCATCGTACTAACCTAAAAATCGTGTAAAAAGAGTATCTGTATACTGTTCTAGCGCTTCTTGACATGAGCATACCAATTGTATCAACGACTTCCACTGAGTCAATCCAGCAAAATTTTCGGTTATCAATAAACATACAAAGGCCAGCTGCAGTTCACCAAGTAACTCCTTTGGATCTGATTGAATGCGACCGTGAATCGGAAGAAGCGCCATCGACAATAAAACCAATATGCTACCGTTCTATCTCAAGGCTCACCTTTGTTGTAAACTCTTTCCAATAAATCACGCAATAGCCAACTTTTATCCTGTGCATATCTTGTAATTTCCGTACCAATTGCACCTTGTCTCCAACTTTTTTTAAGATCAAATTTGGTGAATTCTATCCTAGCTTCTTGTGTATCGATTTTTGTAATCTCGTTAACCTCCTCGTTCTGCATACTCTGCGCTGCCACAGAGGCTTCTGCAATCGCTCCCTCCTCTTCCAACCCAACAGTCTCCCTATTAGCCATTCCATGTTTACCCAGGTGTGCAATCTCCTCTTCGTCGATACTAGAATCTGATATATTGTTTATCTTGCCTTGACAAGGAAGCACCCGAGAGATGAGTGCACGGCTGATGAAATCAGTGAGATGAACCCATTTCCGCCACGTAGTTGGTGGAGATAAAGGATATGCTCCGAGGTATGGGTCTAGTCGACGCATGTCTAAATTATGGGAGAAACGGCGAAAGCGGAATAATTAAGCGAGATTGAATGGAATTCAATCTTATCCATTGAGATTAGAATGTTAACAGTGGCGAACAAGAGAATTATCGAAAGAAAAAAAAAGAAAAGAAAAGGTCTACAATAAACCATTGATCCTATTATCTCTCTTTTTGTTACCTGAAGCAATTCGTTCTTTTTGAACTTGTTCAATTTCAAAGTCATTCTTGACATCTTCTCTAGTCGAATCCCATTCTTTTATTACGATCTGCAGAGTAATGATAGCATTCAACGTTTATTATTCCAAGTAAAAACATAAAACTCGAGTATGAAAGCCCAATTTACCTCTCTTTCTTCATAAAACTTGAAAAACCCATTGCGCAAACCAACGCTCGAATTTGCTGATACGCTGAATTATAACTATTTTTTAGCATGATGAAAGTGAGGAGTGGTTAACGGTTCGCTTCTATTGTTCGTATGTACCTGTAGTGCACATAATGTAATCCTGGAGGTATCAATTTGACCCCCATAAACTTGGGCCCAATCTGCCATGAATTGCAATCGATCCCGAACTTTTATTTTTGGTGAAAATTGTAATTAATTATTTACGTGCAATGTAGTTGTATAGCAGATAGCAGTAACTAACCTCCATTCCTTCTGGAGCGTTCAGGAATACTAGAAATGCTCCCTTGTCAAAAAGTGCTTGAGCAGTTTCTTGATCCATAATAATTGTAAAAAGTGAATAGCAATAGAAAGAAGTTATTAATAACGTGACGTTGTCGATCTCTTCCAGTATCAATAAACTTTTAAGGAATTTTCTAAACCTTAAACGGAAGCACAGCGAATGATCTCCCAATATTAATATTAATTCCCAAGATCAACTTTATTAAAATTAATTATTTATACTGCCCATTTGACCTTTTAAATTACAACTTCGCATAGATAACAAATAAGGGGGTTAATAGAACGTTATTTAATTTGTTATTAGGTGTTCGTTTAATAAATAATGATGACAGACATCCAGATTTCGTTGCTCCGACGGTGGCTGACGTATTTGTTTAAATAAATCGTATTATTGATATAGTTCATTATTTCCTAACCGATGTTCCTTGGTTTAGGCAAATCTCCAATAGGTAACAGCTTGCTAGAATATTTGCTCTCCTTTTCAATATGTGTTAAGGGTTTTACATTCTTATTGTTGTAAATGGTGTCCCATACACTACCACCACCAAAATGAAACTTGTGCGCCTCCTTGTGTATAGTAAAGATGCATCCACTGAGTTCATCAGTCTTGGGACGCTCGTTAGGATCAGCATCACAACATTTTTTGGCAAGTTGTTTATAGGACTCTGGTGTTGAATCAGGCATCGCAGGTCGCAATCCTTCGCAAATGCGCGTTGCCAAACGCTTGTCAAATGGTAAATCTCTAAACGGTGGCTCACCACTGGCAATTTGAGTCATAAGAATCCCAAAAGAGTAAATATCCGATTTCGTTGTAAATTTACAAGTATGGAGAACTTCTGGTGCAATGTAAGGTAAAACGCCTTGAATCGTTGACGAACATGGTTTGGTGGAATCCACTGGTATAGAAAGTCCGAGATCACATATTGATGGCCAAATTGATGGAGCATTGCGTCTCTCGGTATTAATATAAATGTTTCCACCGTGAAGATTACCATGTACTAATCGTTGCCTATTCATGGCAGAAAGATCATATGCTAAACACTGCAAATAGTCTACTTTTGTCTTCCATGCCAGTTTGTTGATATTTTGATCCAAATGAGAGAAAAGATTACCGTCTCTTGCATATTGCATTACAATCATGTACTCTTTTGTCTTGGGTTGCTGTGTAGCTCCATAAATTTTGAGAAATCGTATTGACACATCAATACATAAAACGTGATTCCTGAACTATTAAAAAAAAAAAGAGTTACTTAAAATCAACTAAATATAATACAATGGATTGTTTGTTACCTCTGAAATAAAAAGTTCTGGTGTCTGGCTAATGTTCTTGAAACTCTTTAAAGCAATATGTTCATCAAGTGACTTATGTTTAGCAGTATAGACTGTCCCATATCCACCAGTTCCAATTTCTTCAATTTCATCAAACTCACTGTGCTGCATAAAGTTCAACCCATGTTTATGATTACTACAATGCATGATTCTATTCAAGACTGTGTGTATGTCATAGTAAAATATTAAATAATAATCTCGAGTGAATGGTGATTGAGTGATACCAAGAATCCAAATATTATCAGCTGGTAATAAGATCTCAGGGTAATCTTTAGTTAGCTATTGGAGAAAGCAATATTAATATCTGTTACAACAATCTTTGATAAAACACACATGGCAGAAAAATAACTTTTAATGTTGAAAATGCTTACCTGGTAAAAATCAAAAGATTGAGCATTCTGTCCATCAACTATCTTTTTGAATATCACACTTCTTGAGTGGTTCCCTTTATCTGTTAATCCTAGCCACTCTGCCATATGTGTGCATTCATACTGTAATAGTAATGGTGACATTTCTCTTATGTTTGTCAAGTGAGGGTATTCTATCCACTGTATATAAGTATCAATACTATTCTTCACATTAGCCCATGATTCCATTATAAATAAGTCCAGAGACTTATTACCAGTAGTCCAATCAGGAGGATTTGATGCTTGACATTTGAAACAAAAGGCCCTTATTTTGGAGTGTAAACAATCAGTGCATGCCAGACATAATTCACAGTATGTTCCTTCATGTAGTATTGCTTTCAAGAGACAATATTTTTGATCTACTTCATCATATGTAAAGCCAATAGCAGACCATACATTTGGGTCAAGTATATCTGGATGATCATTGCATAACTAGTGGTACATATAAACAAATCAATAATTTTACTCTAAAGGCAATCATTAACCTGACATGTCTGCAGAAATAATTGGTACTTAACCTTGCGCAAATCTAAATCATCTTGTTTTATAATATTATTAATCCATCGTTTGAAACCCGTGACTGTCTTGGACTGCATCTCAAGTGGAATCAATCTCATGAATTGATAAACAGTTGGCAGATCGTGAGTAGTGTACTGGTCATAAATTCTCGCACGATCAAATGGAATCCATTCCAAGTAGGCTTCATTTGCTGACTTTGTTTGTCTCTGTGACCTTTTGATAAACTTGTCAAGTTTGTTGTTGTTACTTGTCCACCCATCCAATAACTCTTTATGCCCGCAAATGCACCACACAGGGCTGCACCTGAGTCTTCCACATGCAGAACAGAACCCATAGAGAGAATAGTAATGAGGAAAGCGTCTGTCAGCAACCAAGTAGTAATTATCGTCATCCTTGGTAATTCCATATATGGATTGATTGCGTTTGTAAAGCAACTTTGAGTATCTTCTGAACTGTTTTATATCCGGTGTATTTGTATGTTTATAGGCTGGAAGCGAGTATATCCTAGCAAACTCGCCAATAAACTCTGCCGTGCAAGTGTCGCTGTTTCCAAGCAGCCGCAATATCACATGCAAATGCAGTGATTCGTATGTAGCATGATAGACGGTTTGGTCGTTCAAGCTTTGGGCTAGCTCTACTTCTATAAATTCCGAGTAAGGATAGAATTGCAGATGACAATTTTTTCTAAAGAGAGATTCACACTCGACGATGCTCTTATCCATAGAGATCCGTTGAAGGATGTTTTGCCTCCCCAAATATGTGTGACCAATTACAATGGGCCACTGAGAATTTTGCGTCACTCTGCTCTGTAGTAGTCGTATGTGGTATGTGGATAATGCGCCAATAGTATAATCTTTCTATTTTGACGTTATTCGTTTACACGAAGTGATATTATGGTTCCGGCGGCTAAACAAATGCTCGATGGAAATTCATGGTTACGTTTTGATGAATGGATAATATTCTCGCATTGTAGCTTTTCGCGCAGAATAGATGAAGGCTCTGTCCAATAATAGTCAGCCATATACTCCAAAGCCTCTTCAAATTAAAAAACCAGAGTTCGTACTTCCACAATAGATCAGGATAATCTAACAGATACGTAGTGCATCACTTTATTTTGAAAAAGTCGCGTCATGAGGGTACTGCGCGGTAGTGTGTTATTTGTACACCAGTATCTAAGATCGAATGTTTTAATGAGAGAAACAACTCGATGGAACAACTATTTTTGGTGGGTGCTCTTGTTGATGGGTATATTTATTGCTGTCCCTTTCGTTAGTGTTAGTATTAGTGCTGTTGATTCATAGATAATTAATGTAATACAAAGATCTAAATTTAGAATAAGCCCCCAGGCCCTGATAGGCGCTACGTTAAATGTTAATAAAGGTAATAAGGGCGGGGCGTTACGACAGTACGACAGGCAGAATATGCAGTAACAGGGCGTTTATTATAATTGACACCTCCTTCGTTGCCAAAAGGGGAGGGATTATCGCATAAAATTGGAAATGTGGTCAACCCTTGGAATCTAATGGGTAGCGGTTGGAGAATTGAGTAGTCAAGTCTTAACAACAATAGTAACATGTTTACTCGATAAATTTAAGTGGTCTGCTCTTATTGATGATTGTCGATACGTGAAATAAATTCTTATCGTCCTCAAGCAATTAAGCCCTTTTAAAACCACTCCTACAGTGTGAAACATGCAATCTGCTACTCCTTTTTTTAAACCTATTTCTGCGTCCCTGCTAGCCTAGTTAAGATATTCATTTTCCTTTACCGACGATACGAATCAAGGTGAGGGTCTGGAACACAATGTCTTTTAGTAACGGCCAGTAATTATTTAAATTGTAATAATCGCATGTCATGTTTCTGCTTTTGTATTTGATGACTAAGTCAATGTGTAAAGATTATTAATCAGTAAATAAATAAGCTTTCTCTTATTATTATTATTGTAACATGTATTCACTCGTCAAAATCGGGCTATTTCCTATAACTTTAATTAACAATTATCAACTTCAAACATTAAATGTTTATTTCAACCAGTTTATATAATTCAGTTATCGAAAGCATTACGTCTGTTATCTGCGTAGTTCGTCGGCAAGGCCCTGTGTGTCGTTATTCAGACACGTGTGATCAGATCACGGGTAATGATGGAAAGAGAGGAACCGAAGCCCCACTTTGCAAATTTTATTAATATAAATCTACTCGGATGAAAACCGACTTTTCATAGAATAGCACTAGTGCATCAACAATTGTCACGGATTGTTCTATTGTATTGTATAGTATATAAGTATTATTTCAATTATTACCCCTGTCACACACCCCCGCAGTTTGTCACACACAACATACAACAACTTCACTCTGATCTGAAAGATGTCTAAGATTATATGTCATTAAACCATTTTACTGGCAGCATAGCATAGCATGGTTACCGTACGAGTGAAGGCACGGTTCATCGATGGCAAGTACCGGAAGACATATCCCACAGAACTGCAGGATTATGTAAGTAAAATACAGTGAACAGATCGAAAGTCTTATTGTTTTGTCCTCTCCGTTTCATTACTTATCTACCGATAATTGTCATGCTTCTCTCTCCTCCATTCTTCACTCTCCTTCCATGTGACTTTTTTAGATAAATCAAGATGAGTTTTCCGCAAATATGGATGCTCTAAACAAACCACTAAGAATAACCGCTATCCGAACTGCTTTGCTCAGTCTTGCTAACTTGCTTTTTGCTGGGGGATTTATGGCTGTTGTTCTTGTTATGTCGGAAAACTTTAGCGGGCATAATGCAGATGTTGTGATATATCTCGCAACGGCCATGTTTTTGCTGACTCAGTTTATGTTTAGCTATGTCTCAGTAATTTGGAATATACAGGTTAGTAAAATACGCAGGCAATAGATGGAGATAATAAGGAAATAGAAGGCATATGAAAAGCGATTTTAAAGAATCTCTAACTTCGCAATTGTTTCGTTATGCTGTAGATGGAAGACGAGAGAGAACGCATTGTTAATGAATTTAATCTTAACGATCAACGGCGAGGCATTAAATGGAAATATAGCAGGAGGCCGTTTTGGTCAATCCGCAATAAACAGGTATAATTGATTGCTTAGTAATCCTTCCTATCATTGAGTTATCGTTTTCTTATGAACTTGTGTCTTTTTCACTAACCTTGACGTCAACTATCTTAGTCGTCTGTTCTTATCGAAGTCGATGATTCCCAATCTTCTTAATATATTGAATGATCCAAGTATGCTGTTACATCAAGCAGGGTTAATATTCCGTCTTTGATATTTGTGCCAAGACTCATTTATACGAATATATTTACGTAATACTTGCTCCAGTTATTTTATGGAAATGAGCTTATTTATATGAAGTGAACAAGCAACATAATTACAAAAAAGAACATATAACAAATTCACATATAAGTTTTAACATTCTGTGTGTCAACTATAGGCATTGAGTTTATGAATAAACGGTATAGTTACATATTTCAGCTAATGAGACTTGGATTTAGTGCAATTGGCTTATTATTATGACTTTCTGCATAGTAATAAGTAATAGTTCAAACCTTCTAGTTGAGCTGTAGGTAGTGGAACTGTTATTTATTAGATCAATCGACGGAACTGAAGATGATGGGGGGGGGGTTTCTAATACTGTATATTTCAGGATTTGGTATTTATAGTATAAACTTAACATTAAGGCATAATGCCATTACTATTACTATCAGCCTTCCCTCAAAAAGTAAATTGATGCTGTGTCTGATTGAAAAAACGAATTAAGGGGAGGGGTATCCCAGTAATGAAGGATGTCTGTCTTTTTAAAATATAGAGTCTGATGACTATCTGGCAGTCAGGACTATCATTATTCTCAGGGTTTATAGAATCGGAAGCCATTTTTATGCCTCAATATTAACTGATCATGGGCAGCTCATCGTCCTATCATATAAAATTTTCGATTACCAATATAGGTGATATTATATATGGTAAATCAGTATTTCATATTAATATAGCCATTTTGAGATTACTACATTGACGTTGATACAATTGCATTAGTTTTAACAATTATAATATTAACATCAGATCGATATGATACAAATATGGGATTTGGCTAACCATTCGCCAGCACTACTACCATCAATTACGCTAACATCTGGTAAACTTATATTTATAATAAAACGCAGTTACAGTTACGTGTACAGACATTGATGCTAGGTATCGCATAACTTTACAGAGCTTGGGATTCTGACACAATGGGTTGGGTGGTTGTGTTATTTGCAGTCAAAAAATTTACGTTGTTATTATTATGTTTAGTCTAATTAATGCAAAAGCTACTGAACATCGTCCCAAACATCATCCAATTTTCAAATCGATGAGCTAATGAGGGCTATCATTGTATCCAGTTTGAAAAAATTCTAACTATTTGCTTTAATAATTCTCGAGTTTAGCATAATAGTTTACATTTGTTGCTTTTAGTTACACCCCCCTCTATTTGAACCGAGATTATTCAAATAGTCTGAATGATAAGAGTTCGCTCTCAGAAATATTCGAAGCACTATGATTACTTTGTGACGTCCGATACTTATTTCAATTCAGCGATCTGAAAAAGGAACTTTATCCGCCGGCTAAACTTAATCCCTGTTGATCTATTCGCGATGCAGAGATAACATATTAACATTTTACTACGTTATACATGTTGTGTCTGAGTTTGGGACCTGTCTCAGTTCGGAACCCAGTCACTCAGTCCAGGACTCAGTTGTCTCAGTCCAGAACCCAGACACTCAGTCCAGAACCCAGTCGTCTCAGTCCAGAACTGAGACAGGTCCCCAACTGAGGTACAACATACATAAGCCTATACATGTACCACGCAGTGTATCACAACGTTTCGGACCATAAGATGGAATAGAAACGTTCAGCCAGTTGAAAATGAAGCAATCATAACCTACCTGGCTGTGGAGCACCAAATATTTAATTGAGAAAATTTCAGACAAATTATATTTACGTAAAATATTAAGTATGGATAAGCGATATTCAGAGCTAGCAGACCCCTCGGTATGTATGGTTATATAAACTACATATTAATATGTTCGTTGCATGCTTTAGCGTTGGGAAATCGCTTATGAATCGAATACACTTTTCATAGTGATTATTGCTTAATTTATTAGGAAATTGGACACTCCAATGCCGAGAACAAAGGGAAAGAGAAGCAGCTTGATAATAGAGAGACTGAAGATGTGTTTGTATTTGGGGGGGCCTCATTGTCATTGAAGGTGAAAGTGACGGTAATAATTATGATGACGATGAAGACTATGAACATATATATGTTTACTGCAAATCTGAACAATGTGGAATTAAATGAGCTATTAGCTACAACCTTAGAATTGATTGTCAATGGGAATGACAGAGCAGATCATCTTATTAAATTGTCCAACCTGTTGCTATCATATGGTACTATTCTAGATAATGATCAATTGGAAAATGCTTTGAAAACAATCGGAATTGATGTTGCATATAATGACTATAATGTGCCTACTGATATTGAATTGGAACTGCATCTTAAAACATATATATTAGCTTTATAAGCATTTGGCAGGCAACCTCTTATCATGACAAGGGAGTTCTGTAGAGCTTTGTATGAAAATCTTACAAAATTGTATGATATTCATCAATCTCATATCAAAATATTAGACTCAAAATTAAAAACTCCATGGGCTGGTTTGGAGGAAAGTAAAGTTCAAAATTACAACAATGATTTCTTACTTATGCATCTTTATGATACTCTCCATGCAATGAATGATTATGATAGTAAGACTGCTTGCCTTGAAACTATAAACTGGCTAAAGGCTCCATTTGCTGCATCTGTTGAGGCTTTATCTGATATTAATATGGTTGGTATTATGACAACTATAGAAACTCCAATTGATAACAGAGCCACTAAAAAAATTTATAACAACCTTCAGAAGGCTTTACAAGCAAAATTTTCTGTGGGACATTGGTACAAGAAATGGAGATATTTATGCAGCATGTATCAAGCATTTGTTGAATGGTCAGCTGTTCCAATTCATAAGAATTTAGTTGCCAAAGGGGAGTTAATGCTGATCAAAGATCTATGGAGGTTTGGAGATCAAGAATGGAGTAAATATAAAGCAGTTTCAGCAAACCCTAAATTAAAAAACATGCTGGATTACTCAATTCCATATTCTTTGTTGTTTGGTATACTGGAAATTGCTCAAAGTCTGATAATATCTACAAAAAATATTAGTACCTTGGCTCATTGTTATTATCTTGCAAAACTATCTCTGGACATAGTAAGAACTAAATTTATTCAATTTAAAGCAGTGGAAGTTCTAATGATACTCCATAAAAAAGATCCAATCACATTTTCTGTTGTGCAGGTTGATCTAGATCAACATGCTGAAAGTTTTTCTACTACTACTTTTGACCAATATAAAAGAAGGTTTCAAGACATGAGAGAATATATTGATAAAAAATACACATACATTAATTAAGCAAGTAGCAGAATAAGAACTAATTTTGAAATACCAGCCTCAAGACGGAAAGCAGAAAGACCTGAAGAACTTCTTAACTCAAACCCAAATGATTCATTCATATTAGACATGATTACAGATCATCTTATATGTCCATTTACACAAGAAGTTACAGGAGATTTTAGAATACTTCCATTTAAACACAAAATCAGCTATTTGGCATTGGAAGTATTCATGACTATGAACTACTCTGAACTAAAATGCTTTTATTGTAGAAAAAAGTTTCAATTGGAAGATACTGAGAAAATACCAAGCTCACCAATTTACAAAGCATTGTATGAGAAATTTGTCAGAGCTGGACATATTAATATCACACCAAACAACAAGGCAAGAGATTTTACACAATTGTGGAGAGTCAGGATGATGATGATAGTGATGAGGAAACTTCTGTTATCAAGTCAAATTTTTTATCTTTGCTTCAAATGAAACCAAAGAAAACTATCCTACAAATGATGAAGCTACCAATAGGTCTACATTATGCATACAGGCAAGGCAAGAAAGCTCTTGATGAAAAAAGATATAGTGATGTAATATTATGGCTTGAAAGAGCCCTTATTTATTATCCTGACAATGCAACTATCCAAATTGACCTTGCTGTTGCATATATGGAAAATTTAAACGGTATGATTACATAACTCAAGCCATAAAAAATGATCCTAACAATGCCAGAGCATGGGCTTGGTGTGGGAAGTATTATGTGCAGCAATCAGAATACAAACAAGCTCTTAAGGATCTTAAACAGTCATTGAAGATTAATGCAAGTGATGTGCATTGGAAGTCAGGGGAAACCTCTATTACATTCTTTATCTTCATGACAAGGCATTGAATGATTTCAACCAATTATTAGAGCTTGAACCAAATAACACATTTGCACTGAGAGTAAGAGGGAAAATTTATTCTATGCTTGATGAGTTTAACAATGCATTAGGAGATTTTAATAAATTATTGGTGATGGAACCAAATGACACAAGGATGCTGATTGCAAGAGCAGCTGTCTATCTTAATCTTTGTCAGTATGAGGATGCCTTAACAGATCTTAATAAACTGTTAAAACATAATTCAATTGATGTAATGGCACAGCATTTAATATTAAGAGGGTAGGCTTATCTCATGCTTGAGAAATATGATTGTGCATTAGATGATCTTGATAAATCATTAGGAATTGATCCAAGTATTACACTTACATTGAATGAAAAGGAAAATATCAGTCTTAATATCAAGTATGGCAATGCATTGAGTAGCTTGAATAAACTTTTAGACACTGAACCAGATAATGCACTTGTATTGCAAGTGAGAGGAAAGATATATTATTTCCTCCAACAATATGAAAATGCATTAAATGATATCAACAGGTCAATAGAAATTCAACCAGGACCTACATTGATTATAAGAGCAGCTATTTATTTTGATCTTTATCAGTACAAAAAGACACTGGATGATATTACTAAATTCTTAAAGATTAAACCAAATGGACCTCTTTCCAGGCAGTTATCATCTCATCTTTGTTTGATCAATTGGAAGCACCAAATTATCCAAATCAGTGTCTATTATTAAATTTTACAGGGCATCTAATTGGAAATGCTGGAGCCATAATTTTAGCAAAAATTTTGAAATCAAATTCATTTCTGACTTCTTTGAATTTTTGGTATAATCAAATTGGGGATACAGGAGCAACAGCATTGGCAA